ATAACAAAAAAAAAAAAAAAACAAAAATGATTCAAAAAAAAAAAAATAAATATAAATAAATAAAAAAAAAAAAAAAAAAAAAACAGAAAACAGTTAATCATACTTTTCCCAAGAGAGATAAATTATTACATATTATTGAATAATTTCCATTATTAATTGTATTTAAACCATATTGTTGAATAATGTTAATAACTTGTGTTACTTGTAAATGAGCAAAAGTTTCACCAAATTGATTTCCTGTGGGGGTTTTTTTAATGAATTAATAAAAATTCACGAGTAAAAAAATTTATAATAAATTTATAATAAATAAAATCTTTTACCAATTGCAAAAATTGATTGCATTAAAAATGGCAAAGTAGAACTTTCTTTTAAAAACATTTTGTATACTTGTCTCATTACATTTTTAGAAGTTAATATAGGCCCTATTAATGTACTAAAGAAAAGATTAATAAATAAATAAATAAAATTTATCATCATACATATATATTTATTAAATAAAGTCTTAAAATCAAAAATAACAATAATACCATATTTCTACTAAAGCAGAATTTGCCAGTTGAGCGACTGATGGAATTGCATTGTCCAAACTAGAAATATCTTTATTAGCTGTAGGAATAGAAACAGGACTTGATACATAATCTACTTCTGTCAAAATCTTTTGTTTAGCTAAATCTAAATGAAAACTATTGTTACTGCCACTTGAAGGACTCAAAAGAACCTTTTCTTCTATAGTCAATGCTTCCAAATACAAAGGTAATAATTGTTGTAAAAAATTTGTAATGCCAAATCTATGTATAAATTCTTCTATTATAGTCGATTCAAATAATATTTTTGGAATTGATGGTCTTGATGACTATATTCAAAATAATTAAATTTAGAATAGGAATTATCAAAAACCACGTTTTTGATGGTGATGACGATATTATTATAATAATATTGGTTACCTCAAATAAAGAAAGTATAGGTTTTAAAAGATGGCTTTTTACTTCATCTTGACCTAATCTTTGGCCTAGCTTTGGAAATATGCTTAGTGCTTCGAATTTAATATCATCGTGCGTAAATAAAAGTATTAAGCTTGGTAAAATCATATAAAACGCCTATTAGAAAAATATTAAAAATCAATTAATTGACATTTTACCAATGAAATAAAAAAATTTTATTATATTTTATGAATATTGAAATTTACCTCATCAACAAGGTTACAAAGTTTATTCATCCAATGTTCAGCTAACTTAAGTCTTCCTACCCAATCTCTATTCATACATTAAGTGAACGATTTATTATTATTATAAAAAATTGAAAATAAAAACAAACACATGAAAATTTAATTTTAGCTTACACTTTATGAAAATCAGTCAGAAATTCGTAAACTTCTGGAATACATTCAGGTAATGGTAGCGTTTCTTTTTCATATAAGCCTATTGCAGGCACTGAAGAATAAATTATTGCATCAATTGTTGGACGTTCTCTCCAATTTGGAGATAATAATGATGATATTGTTTCTTGAACAGATAATGGCAGCTTAATTGATGATTGATTGGTTAAGTGAGTTATAAATAAACAATTTGTAAAGTAAAAATTATAGAATATAATATTTATTATTATTACCTTGGATTGATTGCTTTCACCATTTTCATTATTGGTAGCATTTAGTGAGTGGCTGTCAAGTGAAGAAGTCAAAGTATTTTTTGGGCTAGCATAAATACTTTCCATTATCTGACCAAGACAATATGCATCCCACGCTCTTCCGTATGCAAATGAGTCTTTTAAACCATCATTATCATCACCACAAAAACCACCATCAATTAAAACTTTGTTATTAATAACATTAATATTATTATTATCATTATTAATATTATTATTATTATTATTATTATTATTATTATTATTATTATTATTATTAATATTATTAATATTATTATTATTATTATTATTATTATTATCATAATTATTGGCGTTTATTACATTCTTTTTGCCTACATTTGTACACAAACCATCCTTATTATTAATAATAGGTTTATTCTCAATATATTTTGTAGAAAAGAAATGTGCTTTTTCAAAACTATCAAGTGTCTCAATAAAATAATTATCATTTAACTCGTCTAAAAACTTGATTGGCAATTTATTGATAATAGCAACAAGAGTATCAATACGAGATTGTACATCTTTAAAATCATTTGGCGTTGCTAGTGGTGAAAGTGTGTTATCTTTACTAATATCATGATTTATGACATCGTATAAAGAATGTGACCTGGTTGCTGTAACTGGTCTAAGTTTGGGTGATTTTGATTTTGCTGATACAGTTTGATATTTTCCTACAGTCTTATCTGAATTAATAAAAGAATCAGCCATAAGATCAACTTGTTGTTGCTGATGTTTTTGCAGATACTGCAACTGCTGTTGATTCAATTTATCTGACGAATGGGTTAATTTTGAAGGAATCCTTTTCATGGGTGAAATTAAACGATAGTCTTCAAATCCTATCTTTCCTCCATTATTTAATAATCTATTTCTTGGAGGGGTTTTGATTATTTTTATTAGCTAACGAAAAAAAAAAATAAAATAAAAAATGAATTTTTTAGAATAACAATATTACCTTGCAATTTTATTAGATTTTTGAGGATGAGGATCAGAAAATAATTGTGTAATTCCATGTTTTATAAAAGAACCCTGACCATCTAAAAGCGGCAATGCGACATTTTTTTCTTTCACAGCATTATCACCTTTTGTTTTAATTCCCAAAATTAAACCAACATTAAAACTCGTAAGGAAGCTTATATTTTAATTTGAAAAAAAAGAAAAAAAAAATACCGCTCAGTTTACACCCAAAAGTTAAATCAATCCAATGATGTAATTGACTTGATACATAATCACTTTCTAATGCTTCAGAATGTATGCGGATAAATTCATCGGGTGAGGATGCCCAACTATTATGAAAATTTAAATTTATAAATTTATAATCAATATCTAATTTAGTGTTATGCTCGAGAGCCAAGCTGCTAACAAAGTAGCATTATAAAACCTCTAACATTTAATCAAATCTGTATATAACATACGATGGTAATTGTAGATCTGGCATATCAGGATGAATTGAAGTAAAGATACTTGGGTCTAAGTTTTTTTTTAAAAAAAAAAACCAATTATTTTAGTCTAAAATTGTTTACTATAAAAAAAAACAAAATTTATAAATTTATAATAAGTTATTTTGTGGCTCAATACCAGTGTAGAACTCAGGAATACATTCGTCAGGTGTCCATTCAAATAATCTTTTCATTGAAGGTAAATATTCATTTGGTTCATATTTGGTTCTAACGTATTGACACAAAACCTTTTTAATTTTTTTATTTGTTTTATTTTTTTTTTTAAAGGAAAAAGATTAATATTTTTCCTACTGACTATTAAAAAAAAAAAAAAAAGAGAAATAAATACAAACCGGTATTGGAGTTTTGCGTGCAAGATAAACGTAATAAGTTATATCAGATAAAATATCCGTAATGTGATAAGGAATTGGACCATCATATGTAGCATCAAGATGACTGTCTCCTATGTAATATTAATAATTATAATAATGATAATAATGATAAATATAAATCAGAGTATATAAATAATGGCTTATTGTCAGAGTAGTTCTTTTAACTACCTTTATTCAAACGAAATTTGGTTTTTGTAAAATCTCGCCAATTTTCCGACACTTTTGAACCTTTAAAATCAGTAATCCATGGTAATATCGGATGAAAATTTGGATCTCCAATACGTCGACCTAATTTATAAATTGTATTCTATATTAAAATTGGCTCTACAAAAAAATTATTATTATCATAATGATGATTAAATGAAGGTCAGAAATATATATAAATATATATACCAGCAAGATAATTTAAAGCAATTAAATAATCAAAATTTGACATTTTTCCATAGACCCATTTCATAGTGATTGATTCTTCTTGAATTTCTACGAATTTTAAAATGCTTATATTATAATTGATTAAAGAATAAATATATATGTATATCTTTACAGAATAATAAATATATAAAATACCTTTTGGAATTTTCATTTCCATAATTGCATTTTTAGTTTCTAGTAAATTTAAAATTATTATTAATAATAAATGATTTAGAAGCATCTTTAAAATGATTATCAAATACATAAAATATATTTAACAACTATCGAACCTAAAATATTATTATCAATCGGTATGGAACATTCAAATCCTGTAAGCTTAATCCAAAGATTATCATCTACAAGAATATTTGATGGCTTCAACCTATACAAAAAAAAATGAAACAAATTAATATGCGAAATTGGAATAATAAAAATTTTCAAAAATTTTCAAATAGTAAGTAAAAGCAAACTTACCCCCCATGAATTATGCCTTTTCTATGAAGATTTTGTATTGTTCTAAGCAATTGATAGACAATGAATGATTTTTTGACATTGGAATTTAATACACCATAACTATAATTCAATAGATCATGTAAAGTAGTGCCTCTATATGGAGCCATGAAATAAAATGCATTTTCTGATTCCAATACAGCAAAAATATCAATAAGATTTGGCGCAGATGCTCGACTTATTTCATTTTGATTATTTTTATATTTTGAGATTAATTTAACAGTCAATGTTCCAGGATTGTCAGATTGCGGTAATATTTGAAAATATGAACTTTTTGGATATAATAATTTTATAAATTTTTCCACAAATGCCTTAAAAAAGAATTTTTTTACTTATTATATATAAATTGTGTATATATTTTAAATAAAAGAAGAAATCAAACCTTTTGTGTTATAGTATAGTTTTGATCGGTGTTATTAGATGGATCATTAGAAAACAATGGATAATAATTATTATATCGTGCTTCGATTTCAGCTAAACTTAGCGTGGATTTTCCGTCAAGTTGCTCTTTAAGAAATGTTCTAAGTGGTATAATTGATTCATCGATCTCATGATTTGAAACAACGTTTTTCTGAATAAAAATCTGTGATCTGTTGAAGAAATCAGTTAATAAGAATTTGAAAAGGAAAAAAAAAAAGAAAAGAGCATGCAATTACAAATATTACCTTCTATCAGCAGGAGAATGACGCTTCAGAAAAACGCTTACTAAAACATTTGTTGTTAGGGATTGACGATCATCGTTGTTATGGTCAGAAGGTTGAGAGTTAAGGGTTGAACGAGTGTAGGTGTATCTTTTAAGTTGAGTAGTTTCACCAAGCCTTGCTTGTTCCAAAATGGAAAGCCAGTGTTTATGAACCTGTATTAAACCAATTTATGTGGGATAATGAAAAGTCAATCTTTTTTAATTTTTTGGTTTTTAGGAGAATAAAAAAAAAAGTATTACCACACAACAGACAGTAGCACTTGTTTGCTCTTCAACAGAAAAACAAGGAAATGCAACATCAATGTTTAATTCTTTAGCAATGATTGTAGTGAGCTCTTCCCTCGTTAATTTGTCAATTGAAACCATTCTAAATCTTTTAAAATTTTTAAAAAATTTTATTTTGCATGCATTTATGTTTAAATTAAAAAAAAAACTAAGTAAAACTGATTAACACTGGACGAATCATATCAGGATTGATCGTGTATTACGCGCTATCAGTACCCCTGATTAAACTAGGGAGCTTGTGTCACCTGATGTGGACAAATTTCCTTATTTGCGATATTTGTGTAAGTGGAATTTTTTCGTATTAAAATTAACTTTTTTATTTTTTTCATCATTTACATCATATTTAATTATATAATAATAATTTTTTTCCAATTAAAAATTTTTAATTAATATATATGTTCCCTCTCTTTTAACTCGCTCACATATGATGTAAATACATAAAGAAATCAATCAACCGTTGTCACCTGAAAATCACACTGTCTAATCAAAATGTATGACAATAGTACAATTTTGCCAATTATAGCAACATTGCGTCACCATATATCACAAGATGGTCACAAGATATCAGTATCGTCCAGTCATTTTTTTACCCTTTTACTTCTCTGTCTGTCCCCTATTTTTCTTTTTCTTTTTTTTTCACAAGAAAAGAGTTGAAAAAATAACAACAACAAATAATACTTGTAAAAAAAACCGTGACTGCTAATTGTTCACCTGACTTGGACCCTTGAAGACTGTGAGACGTAAAAAGCTTCTAGTACTAGAGTTTTGGTCAGCGCGTTATATACCTTTATTTCTAACTTGTTAACGTTTACAAACCTTTGTTCAAAAATTAAAGAGCACAAAAAGAAATGTCATCCGCCGAAGAAATGAAAATGGTATGAAATTATATTTGTACATTATATTTACATATTATACATATACATATACATACACACAATGAAGAATTTTCATATTTAATTGTAAATTATTTTTATCTAGAGTGTTTTTACAGAAAATTCTTCAAAATCACCAAAAATTACATCTTCAACAAAAGAGGAAACTCAAACTAGTCCATCCCTCACAACACAGACCACACCAAAATCTACTAATCCAAACCAACAAAAGTATGGAACCTTTTTAAAGTGATTTTTATTTTATTTTTAAAATTAATTATTAATTGGTTTTATATTTAAACTTTTTATTTTTGTAATATTAACTTGGATATATATATATATATATATTATATAATTTATGAATTGATAGTAACGTTAATTCTTCCTCGCCTAGTACCCCTCAACAAAAAACTGAACCTGTAGCAATTCAACCAGCTCCACACACTCCTCAACATAATGTTCAACAACTTCAACAACAAGTTCAACAATCATCACCATCACAACTTCACACTCCATTACGAGGTAATTCAATTTCTGCTTCATCAACACCTCAAACAACGCCGAGTGGTAAACCTCCAGTAGGTAGTGATGAATGGCATAGGCAACGTCGTGAAAACCATAAAGAAGTAGAACGTCGTCGCCGTGATACTATCAACGCTGGTATCAATGAATTGGCAAAAATTGTGCCTGGTTGTGAGAAAAACAAAGGCAGCATTCTTAATAGAGCAGTTCAATATATCCAACAACTCAAAGAAAATGAAGCTACCAATATCGAAAAGTGGACGTTGGAGAAGTTATTAACAGATCAAGCTATTCAAGAATTACAAGCACAAGTTGAACTTTTAAAGGCTGAAAATGGAAGGCTCAGAGAAGAATTAGACGAATTACAAAATCCAGCAAAAAAGAAACAGCGAACCGAATGATAAAATTGATTTTTATAATAAAATATTTGTTTGATTAGAATGTTGGTTGATAATAATATATAATAAATATATATATTAAAATAATTTTGATAAATTTTTGAGATATTCTAATACTAATAATAATAACAGTTTATTTTCTATTATGGCTGGACATTTGTTTCATGCACGATTTTCTTTGAAAAAAAAATTTTTTTTTTAAAATAACAATAATAATAATAATTGAAATCAAAAGTTTTAAGTTAAAAAAAATTAGTAGGTAGAGTCGCAAACTATTTTTTTTTATAGATAATAGCAAGTGATTCTTTCTTTTTTCTCTTTAATATATTATTTTTTTTTAATCGATCTTTTTCTTTCTTTTACTAATATTATATAATGAATGACGTTTGTAAATTATTATTTTTCCTTAGAAGCAAAATTTTTGGACTTCAACAAATTATTTTTATTATTCTTAAAAATAAAGCCTATATTAATAAAATTCCCTACTCCAATATTACTATTCTCTACAATAAACAAAAAGTATTAATATGTTTGTTAATCATGAAAAATATGCTGTAACAATAATAATAATAGTATTATTATCAAATATATGGATGGATTTACAAAATATAATCAGTATTGGTTTTGGCTGTGGGAGTTTTATCCAATAAAATAGATATGATAATGTGTGTGTATAAATATATATATATATATCAAAGTCATTAAGTTTTGGCCGCTTTGGTTGCTTGAGTAATTTGTAATTTAATTATCGTAACAATGAATTTATCATAAACAATTTATATAATTTATTCATATCCATCAATTATTCACGAATTGTTATTATGTAGGTCTTGCTGGCGTACCGCCACTACTTGAAGGTCCGCGATTAATCGGAAAAATTGACGATTGTTGACGGAATTGTCCTCTAGACTCTTCTCGATTTCTTTCTTGTGCTATTTTCCAAATAGTATGGTTATCATTTGGTTTTTTTAAATACACACACACATACACAAAAACAAATCACTTACGATTATATTGTAGTAATTTTGAAATTAAATCCGTATGTGTTAGGATCATTCGGCGACAACAATAACGAGAAAGTCCAATAGCATCCATTGCAGCCCTTTAAAACAATTCATTTTTTATAAATTTATTCATGGTATAAATTTATATATATATATATATATATATAATTATGACATAATAATTTACCCTTCTAAATAGTCATTTTCTAATAATGATTGGTACAAGTCCCATTTATTTCCAATAACTTTGCCACATGAAAAACAACGTACTGGTATGATCATTTTTGAGAATAGCCTTCTTGAAAATTTTGTTATATTATTAATATAATATAAAAAAGCTGTTGATCATCAATATATGTTGTGAAAATGAAAATTGGCCAATCAAATTTTCAATCAAATTTTTAGTTTCCGATTGCCTATTGTTTAACGATTCATGCTTCAGGTCATATCTCCGACTAGTGCTGCAGTCAATCTGAAAATATAGAAAGCACATTTCTTTACCCTTGTGCTATTGGCCTAAAAGTGGCCATTCTTTGAGAATATTTAAGCACTCTTCTAAATATAGCTAAATAATATCACCTGCTTCCCAAAATACAATATGTCTAATGATAAATTATTTATATATATATGCACATTATATTACTTTTAAATTTACTAACTTCTTTCAATGAGCTATTTTTTTTTTCAACACAATCCTTGTTTGGATTAATCTTGAAAAATACATAAATGTCATCAAGATAATGGTTCATTTGAATTGTCTAATTATATTATATAATTTATATATATGCAATAATAATAGTAATAATAATATCTGCGCTGTTGGTAATTGCAGTTTCTCCAATTAATCGTGTAACTAAAAAGTATCAGACACCTCAATATATACAAAAATGTATCTAAAGTCTTGAATACTATTACTATTGCATTATAAAATTTCATGTTTCAGAACTTTATCCAATTGAAAATATATCTTATTTTTGAAAAAAAATAAATTTTAACTTCATAATTTTTTTTTTGTTAATCAATAAGTTACTACTAGGCACTCTGTGCCTAACTGAGCAAATTCTGAGTTTGAAATTACGTCAGTTGCGTGACTACTAATTGCAATTTTCGCATTTTTTTTCTCTTTTTAACTAATAAAATAAAATGTAACGGGTCTACTTCAAAATATTTGTTCCTTAATTGTTTCTGCTTGCAAATATACATTTATTAATTTGCATAATTCCGTGCACGAATACTATTTGTTTTAAACTAGTCCATTCCTGAACATTTTGAGAGGAACTCAAATACTTTGCAAAAACAGACAAATGTGCGAGATTTTTAAATGACTGGCGTGAAGTAATTAGTATTTACTTGAATCTTTAGATGATAAAGATAAAACCAAAGAAGGAGCAAGTGAATTTATTGTGGGCGCTAGAACCAAAAAAAAAAATCTACTATATTCTAGACCATTGTTTAAGAATCTTGTTTTTTGGAATTAGTCAATGCCTCACAAATGTCAAAAAAGATTGGAACTACAATTTATGTAAAATTATATTTAGATGGACAACTGAAGTCAATGAAAAACAAGGCATAAGCGAGGCTAAACCATATTTACATTTCCCTATTTCATTTTAGGTATGTATGTATAAACAATGGTATTTGGTATAAAGACAAGAAACATGGAGAAGCAAAGTGCTTTATGTATAGAAATTGTTCAGGTCGTATGACCTCTATTAAATCAATTTTTGATGCTGGGCATGAAGAATTGAAGACTGTGTCAATATCTGGTCATGTTTTCCAGGCAGGAATACGTTCTTTTTATCAAGTATATACAATCGGTTTGAAATTTGAAACATCAAAAAACCACAAAATAAAGATAATTATCAGCTGGAAAATCACTTATTAATATAAATCACTACGAAAAATTCTATTGTTTGTAATAATAATATTATTATTTAAGTTCATAACATTACAGTCGAACCCTCGTTTCAACGGACCTCGTTTCAACGGATTTTTGTTTCAACGGATTTTTGGTTTTACCCCTTGA